TTTTATTTTTGATTTTATTTTTTATTAATATCAATATTGTACCTTAATAAATAAAGAAATTAAACTTATCAAAATTTAAAACTTTATTTCATAGAATAACTAAGTACTTTGGAGAAAACTATATGCATTTTTTATTCACATAATAGTAAGTACACTTACTTTATAATTGCTAAAACAACTAAAGTAATTAGATAGATTTTCTGAGGATAATAGAGTACAAACGAAGTAATAACTTAATTAATCTTGTCGATTACTTTTTGTGGATCAATGATGCCACATCTTCGTAACTCGCAAAAGTTGGCAGATGTTTCAACTTGATTTTCTTGCGGATTTTCCCATCTTTGGAAAATAACAATTTTAGAAAAACTGACATATAAATTTAAGAAACAACATAAAATTATATGAAGCATAATTTACCAGAATTTTCACTTTCGTCACTGGTTGAATCGTCAATAAAATCGTTACTCTCGAAACCATCATCCATGAATTCATTATTATCATCTTCCTCGACGTCATCATCACTATGATCGTCTGATGAAAAGTAAGCATCCTCTAAATCATCAATATCGTCGTCATCTTCAAGATCGGAATCCAACTTAATTGGCATTGTTGATTTCATTGTTTCCCATATTTCTTTTTCTAACTCTTCATCACTTTCCTGATCTGGGTCTAGAAAATCATCTATATCATCGACTGAGTTTTTTTTCTCTTTTTGTACATTGCCGTTGGCATGTTTTTGCGTGAAATATTTGTGGAAAAATGCCTAATTTCATTTAAACAATTTAATGCAAAAGAATTTTAATGAAAAGAGAGACACAACCAAACATATAAGAACCTGATCCACCGGAACGTCGACCAAACTCTTTTTCCAAAATTCCTCAGAGTTAACATTTATTTCATTTTGTGATATTCCGGTTCCCTTTTTCATTATCACCATTCCAGGTTCTGTAGCTACCGTTGGTTGAAGTAGAACATTACCACCTTTAATGCGATCACTTTTCTTCGGATTACGATATACAAATCTATCCAAGAAATGCGATAATGTATGATGATGAAGCTCAGGTTGATTTTCAATTGATTTATTTTCAATCAATTGCTTTGCATATAAAGCAACCGTCGGGTGAAAATGATTGGTGAAGAAGGTCTAAAAATTTCAACCTTGAAATCAATCAAATATTCAAGTTCACAATTTTTAAAAACAAATAAACATTTACCAATTCCCACAGACACGTTTGGTCTGCATAACTATATTGCGGATCTCTTTTGCGACCATCGTATTTTCGCAAATTTTCGTCTTTAGATAAAGATTTGTCGTTATCTGATTTTTTATCCTCATCGCCCGAATCATCTACATTATGCTGTAGGTCATCCTCATCGGGCACATCAATAAAGCGTTCCTGAGAATCGTGGTCTTCAGGATGGGTGATAAAGTAATAAAGAGACGGAAATTTTTGCACAAGCTAAAAAATTTTTTCAATTAGATAATGAACTTTACAATTAAAAAGGAAAATATGAATATACAACATACTGCTGAAATTAAATAAAACGCGCCACATATAAACGGTGGCAAATGATGTCCACAAACTTGGATCAATCTTTTAATAAAAGCTTCGATTCGCACGATTACCGAATCATTTTTAAGGGCTTTGAATAAGAGATTCAAGTACATTGCGTGCTTTGACGATTTGTCAAGTCGCGGATCAAGCAATGATTGATAAAGAGCTCGATAAAAACGATCAGATAACGACTAAAAATAGAGGGATCGGTGATATTAATTTAAGGAAATCCACGTCATCATATGTATTAATTAAAACTAATAAGACCATACTTCTTTTTTCAGAGATACTTGGTAAATTAACATGAGCGCCTGTATACTAATATTAAACGTTCCAACATGGGTAATTCGATAGAGGACGTTTAAATGACCTTCGAACCTAATTTGATAAATGAAAAGTGTGTTAACAGATTATCTGTAATACATTAAAATGATACCCACAAAAGGCCAAAGACTCACTTACACGCTATCATTCACTTGAGAAAATTTATAAGCCCTATTGACACCAGTCAACAGGGCAGCCACAAGTTTCGAATCTACTGTATCTTCAATCTTATCCTCATCATTCTTCTTTTTTTTGTTGGATTTAATCATATCTTTATTCCTTTTTATCTCATCATCCTTGGATTTCAATAATTTAGTAAAGAGTACAAAATAAATATCAATTAACTTATTAGCTACTTCGACATCTCGATTTGTCAGTATTATCTGATTCAATGAAATGACCCCATAATATTGCGCACGATCATTTGCGCTAGGAAACAAAATCAATTGTTCGATTTCTCTTATTACATGCATTTTCATGAATGGATGAACCGAGAATATTTGATTGATTAAATAGGAAGCTCTGGATGCAACTTTTCGTTCTTTATCACCCTAATTATAAAGAGATTTGGTGAGATCCGTGATCGTTGAGGCTTAATGATTTTTGATATTATGAAGTAACTTAAAAAAAAAAAAAAAAACTTATACCAGCTTATTGACCAATAATTTTAATAAGTTTTGTTCTTGCTCTGGTTTCTCTTTAAAAAGCGTGAAGATAATGGTCACCATCCGTTGTCTTACATGCGTTAAGACATCGTGAGACAACAACTATCAAATGTTAAGGTTAAAAACATGAATTAATCGTACATCCTTGCTGAAACAAACATAAAAATACATACTTCAATCACACGGATAAATTGATAATAATAATTTTTAATAAAATCCTCGAATGCCCAGACTATTAGATGCCTAACTGTTACTTTTGGATCGTTCAGCGGTTGATCCCGGAAGTATCTAAATATTTTGATTATGTTTAAAATTTTCTGATGAAGTTCAAAAGTAAATATAAAAATAAAATTCAATCTTACTTTAATTTTCGATTAGGTAAAACGGACTCGAGCATTAAGTTCATTATGTATTCTACCGCTTGAACGGACTCATTCCTGCTTTTCTTATTGGCCATACCCAACAATGTCTCAAAAGCGTGAATCGAATGAATTGGTGATTCATCTACTAAAACCGACAAAGTCGAAAGCTTATCCTTCATAGTACCCGACTTAATCATCGTAGTGTAAAAAGTGCGATCCGAACGACTGTGTCCTGGGTGGTTTGCAGCATATTGGGAGTTTTCTGTTTTTAACAGGGCTTTGGCATTTTCAAATTTTGCAGCTATTTGATCATCGGAAAGTTTTTTGGGGGGTGGTTCATTCGAAAGAGGTGGAAGTTCGACGGCATACCACTGACGCAAAGCTTTTATGTGCTAATAAGATAATATTATACTCTTGAAAAAAGTGTTCAAAGCATCTTAGAACTATCTACCGAAAAAATTTAAACAAACCTGCTTTGGTTTACCAGTAGTGACAGCTTTTGCTCCTACATCTTGATCGTCATTATCAATAATGCTCTCTTTTGTTTCTTCCTTCGATTCATCGGATTCATCGGATTCATCCGACACGTCGTGAAATTTTTCAACATTAAGTCCTATTGATTCCACAAAGTTTTCTATTTCTTTCTTTAGATTTTTCTGCATATACACATAAATATATTTAAATTTTTTCTTCCATTCAGACGTTTTAACAAACAATAATGACTTCTTTTGTACGAACATCGTTGCCAGTTGTGGATCTGGATTGATCGTTGAAGTTGTCGCTATCTGAACTTGCACATAATTCTAAATCCTCTATTGATCCTCCAAGACTCTGAATTTGCCCTAATAAAATCTCATGATCCTTAGATTTATCTGGATTTGTTGACGATGGCGACTTTGTAAATCTTGGATTTTGTGAATTCTGAATCGTTTAATTCAGAGAGAATTAAAATAAATTCGGAAGCTTTAGAGCATTAGCTTATTATATTTACTTGTTTTTTTGATGCGGGTTTATGTGTCTGTTTGTTTAATTCTGCTTCTTTACCATTGTTATTTGAATTTTTGTCTACTTTTTTTTTATGTTTTGGTGAATTTTTAGTTGAAGCGGAATCATTCCTGTCATGTTTTGTCTTTGGATCCCGGGTAGAAAAAAAAAAGTTTGTTATAAAGAACAATTTGCTGCATTATAATAAAATTAAACAGTTTTTTTTTTACCTCTTTAACAAAATTACTTGTTTTCTTTTCAATCGTATCGATTTTATTATTTGGTACCTTATTTTGAACTTTGTTTTTTGATTTGGTTGAACTTGACCCTATTGGTCTCTTTTTCGCGCTCATTTTCTTATTACGAGAACATCGATCCAGTGACGCGCCTATAAATCGGATTTTTACATCTTCACCCTAAAATTTTGTGACCTTAATTAAATGATAATTACAGATTATGTATACTGTATACAGTATGTTGCAAAAAAAATTTTTTTATAATTGAAATTTTTAAAAGATATAAATTTAATTAAAATTTTTAATTAAAAATTTATTATAATAACATTGACATTTCTTAAAAAAATTATTTAATTTCTTAATTTATTCTTGTATTTGATTTTTTATATTACTTTTTTTTTTTTAAACAGTAATTAAATAAAAATTAAAAAATACAATATAAAATTTTTGTTAAAAATTAAAATATCAAAGTAAATACTAAGATAATTGATAAAGTAATCTTAAGTAAAATTATTTTAAAGATGTTTATTTAATTATATTTGAATTGATTATTATTAATTTTTTTTTAATAATTTTTATCAAGTTACAAATAAAAATATAATTGTCATGTTTTTTGCAATACATAAATTATGTATATAAAACAATTAAAAATATAAGAAATATTTAAGGTTTAATACTTTTTGATTTTTTGGTTTATTTAGTAATAATACAAAATTATTAGATATAATTTACAAGAATAATAATAAAATTAAAACCTGCAAATTATCTTTATAATAATTACATATAAATTTAAGTTGTTATTTTTTTTTATAGAAATTGAAAATATTTTTTTTCTAATCTAAATAAAATCTAAAGTTTTATTTTTCTCTACCTGTAGTAAATTAGTTTAAAATAATAATATTATTATGTTAATTATTTCCTAGAATACATATTGTTTTGATCACTTATATGTTCTAATTATTAATTATTATTAATACACACTATATAATCAAGCCGATATTTTATTTTTTTAATAAAATCCTGACCTTCACAAGTTTTTTTTGTGTACACTTTCTAATTTATATTAACAAATTGGTTATTCTTAGGCGTTCATATTGCAAGAAAAACCAACTAACTAATCAACCCGTTCAGTCGTATACATCACATGAATATATTTTTATGGCGAACAAAATCCGCCCACACTAAGATGCTCTAATGATAAAATAGTAAGGAAATGTCTTATTTATGGTTACTGAAAGTTATGGTGAAATGTAAATAAATCTGGTGTGATAATAATTAATGCAATAAATTTTTGATCCTATAATTCGTCTAATGTATTCTCGTCAATTCTTCCACCAACTTCATCATGTCATCAATATTCATTTTACAACGGTTAGCAATTTTTTTAATGTCCTCTGGCTTTTGTTCGAGTAAAGATTCAATATGATCACCATCAATAAACCTGTTAGTATTCATAATTTCATTTCGTGAATTTAAAACACATCGCCAACTGAATTATTGAGAATAGAGGTTAAGAATAGTTTTCTAGATAGATATACTGTATATAGATAAAAGGTATAGATATTTATACAATAAAGGATACGATTGTCGTTTTATGTCTCCGTAATCGCCGAGAACAAAGTCCATTGCTTCTACCAGCTTCAACAGTGTACTATACTTTTGAGGGCTTATGGACGCAATCACACCGATAGCACCTGAAGATGTAACATACAACAATTCCGAAGTAACATCCGGCAAGGTTTCGTGATTGTTCGCCGCCAAAGAACCTAAATACGATATTCAAAAATTTGTCAACAATCAAGGGTACTGAAAACTATCGAAATCATAAATAAATCTATCCATGAAATATCGAACCATGTCTAAATCGATTGATCGAATCACCCAAATTATAAGAACCGGTTAGCTCTAATTTCTCCTTTTTCAATAAATCTTCAGTCTTAACATTTCTGCGTAGCGCGAGAATAGAATTAAAGCTTGATTCGCTACATATAAACTCATCATCACTGATAGCCTCGATGGCCTCAGCCCATCGGTTGTAAGGATCTTGAGCAACGAATTCGAGGGTTTTTCCAGAGCCATTCTCCTTATCTTTATATGCCAATACAACAATGGATCGCAGAATATCGCCAACCAAAACAAAGTGACCTCGCGTGACAACTTGTACGGCTAACGTGAACCCTGCATATTCACAAACCCTGATCAGTTCATGACCCCCATCTTCCAGGGTTTTTAATTCATAGACAGCGACCTGAATGAAAGAGTCGAAGGTTAACAACTACTATTGTAAAATCAAAAAGATAATATGAAATCGGCGCAAACAAAACACCTTTCCATTAACGCCGATCAATAATTTTTCATCAAAGGGTAAGGCTGAATAAACGGTGCCTGTCATTTCTTTTTGATAAACCAAACGAATGTTAAGGTTCATTTCTGTTTTTTCCACGATAAAAATCAACAATCGTCCCCTGTCCGTATTATTGTCAACTTGATTGCTTAGATAACCGGTTCCAACTACGTAGTACTCTGGGGCATCATCCTCACTATCAAATTTCACAGAAGATAGAGAAAATACAGTTTCGTATGGTTGTAAAGCATAATAATCATAAACTGTAATATATAAAAATATAAAGTCAATATATTTTCTGACGAGAACTTAGTGTTACAAGACTCACATTCAAATGTCTGATCATCCATGACCTTAAAATAAGGTATATGCTTTTCAGAATTCGTTGCTTCATCCAAAATCGCTCTAATGGTCAAAATTCCGATGGTGTGCGTACTCTCTTGATGTTGTATACGCCGTGGCATCTCATAAAGTGGGATAGATCTTATGTGAAGTTTTTGAATCTCATCGATACACCCGATCGTTAATCCTTCGCTGTGAATGATAACCAGTGAGGCTGTCATATCTGCCGATGGTCTGAAAGGGCACATGTAGGTGACATCCTAAAAAATAGAATAAATAATAAATAAATAATATGTAACAAGATGGATAAAGGTCACCTATGGTGAAATAGAAACGAGCAAATATGAATCGGCGTGGAAACCTTTGTGTTGACGCTAGAAAATAATAACTTCTTATTGGCACTAAAAATTATTGATGGTTTATCCGATGCAGCAAAGACATATTTCACTCCATTGGTAATGAATGGTGCAAGCATCACTGGCTGGGTTCCAATTGTGAATCGTTTTCGCTCTAACAATAGTCCCCTAGTTGGATCTATGGTAAAATGGTACAATTGGCCGTCGCCTACTGTTACCAAAAGGTAATTAATGTTCTCAAACGTTTCCAGTAGGATGGAACGCGCGATTGAAAAACTGTCTAATGCCATATCCGTAAGAACAGTTAACGAAGGTAAATTCAATATTTTCAAGCCTTTCATATTCCAAAGGCCTATGGCTGCGATTGTTGATTTCTCCTTATCAATGGTGTCCAATGGATGGATGTTTATACACGAAACCTCAAAAAATAATCTCTTCCTCCTATACAAAAAAATTTGAGACGATTAATCTAAAATCAGTTAGTTGTCAACATACACTGTTCCTAAATATATTGTACATACGAAACTTCTACGAGTTCAGCGTCTAAGAACTCAAAATAAATCAATTCGATACCATTCGTTGCTATCAATACTTGAGTAGGATTAATATCAGCAACGGTGATTTTGTTATCATCCGGTGGATTCCATTCAGAGGTTATCTTTTTGCTGGTCAAGTCGATTAGTCTAACAAATGTCCGAGTAACCTGAAATAAATGTTCGTGAGGAATCTACCCGAAATTATCCCCTGGCTATTCATAGAATAATGAACAGCTGGTTGTATAGATCAGAAAAGACACACTTTTTTTGTATTTACTTACTTGCACAAGTAAATTTCCTATAACATTATTCGTTGCAAGGGTTTCTTGGTTCATATCAAAACCGACGGTGTACTCATAAACCTCTTGAATCTTGGAATTTTCCAACATTCTTAGGACACGCGTTTCACCGATAAAGGATACGACCAATGTATCGTCATATCTTTTAATAGAAGAAGAATTAATTCCACAAATATCTTACGTCGGAATTTAAAAACCCATCAAGTTTCTTCCATTGATACATACTGAGCGCCGTAATACGGACGTAAAGGCCATACACCTGTTATTCCGGCCATCTGAACATCCGCTTGCACAGTGATACCAACGCCATTACGAATAATCCTTAACGAACCGTCTCTGATACCTCCGGAACAAGTGATAACTTGACTCTAAGTCGAATTGATAACAATTAAAATCATCATACGGGCGTTATTATTCCGTTCACATGAATGCTTCTTTAGACATGAACCTGTTCTTGTCGTTCCATTTTCATCACACAAAAATCGTGTATTGGTGCCAAATTGGTAATGCTATCAATTACATCTAGAAACAATCCTTGTTCGTTCGGTTCCGAACGTAATTTTATGAATTGCGAATCGCCAAAGTGTGACCCGACGAAAACGTAGGCGTGATCCAAATAGACAATGCTCCTAGGCACGGAGATCTAAAACAGCAAAAAAACTTAAATTATATGCGCGTTAAAAAAAAAGACTTGAAATAACGTGTAGATAATAACTACCTTCCCCAGAATATATGTATACATGGGTTTTTTATCTGGTATTACTAGCAGATGAAGTGTTCCATAACTGTCGCCGATCAAGTATCGTGACCCATCCTCGTCGATCGCCGCAATTCTAGAATGACATAAATGAGATGATCAAGGTGAAGGATTCAATATATAATTAAGGATACTATACGCGTAATAACTATCGATAATTAAGCAGTGAAAAGAAAAACAATTACAAGAGCAATATATGATTTTAATTACACAGTATTATCAGATTCATGAGGCAACTCGACTGATCGACATTTTCGATTTTCATCGTAATACGAAACTTTTGTAGACGAGATCAATAAAAAACCGCCTAAAATAAAAGGCAATTAATAGGATTAAATGTGGATTCATGACAGTACGCATTTAATGTTAAACTTACCGGTTGGAACAGCTTCTATTACTCGCGTAGTTTCGTCCAGATTTTCCAGAGACCAAAACTCATTCCCAATATCCGTTGCATACAACGGATATGCCTTTACAAAAACATCTCCACCTCCACCTTCGTGAAGAAGTGCCAATATGGGTATGTCTCGAAAATATAAAAAGGTCATGTCGCGGACGAGAAGATGCTTTAATCTTTATGATATAAATTCATGGAAGTCTTTGAAGTTAAGCATTTATATGGAAAATTATTGGACAGTATAAATAGAACACAAAATAAGTTGTGGACGAATGAATGAAGTCGACAAACCTTATATTAATAGGTTTCGTGTCAAACCCATGCAGCCGAAGCGGTTTTTTCTCTGGTCGAGTTCCCCGGTAATTAACACCACAATCTAATTTTATCGATACCAGGGTGCCATTGTACATGTACATTCCAATCACACGAGAGTAGGGATCGATTTTAGTTATCTTCCCCATTTCTGGGTCTGCAATGTTTTTCAGAAAGTCGTTCCGGAAATTTCCCCGGGCCTCAGTCCATAAATCGTGTTCCTTTTTGTCATAGGAGATCACAAAATAATCGAGACGCTCTGTTACG